CACACACACACACACACACACACATGAACAATAAAACCTAAAAACAACATCAGCAACAAATACATAGTTTTTATTTTGATTGACAGCATCTTAAGTGTGCCATTAATCAGAGGCCTGACCAAAAATAGGTGGGCACCGTTCTGCTAGAATACCTAAATAATAAAAAACAAAATGGTCGCCTTGTACAGAGCAACTAAATTATTTAATTAATATTATAGTTATTATGATTAGTAATAATTATAAATAATAATAATAAAAAATAATAATAGCATAAATTGTTTGCGATATTCATACTTTTTTGTCTGTTTGATGTCACTCTCCACGTTTTTATTATTATTATTATTATTCGTATTATTATTATTATTTTTATTATTATTGTTATTATTATTTACCACTACTACTACTACTACTACCATTACTTCCAGACACAAAACAAAACAACTCCATCGTTTATTTATAAGGCAAGTGAAGGATGATATTATCATCATAATAAATAATAACAACAACAACAACAACAACAACAACGACAACAACAGAGCTTAACGTTTCAAAATCCATAATAATAATAAAAACAACAACAATAATAATTAATAATGGTAACTATAATAAAATAATAAAAGGTCAAAGGTCGATTAGACTCTTCCAAAGGTCGCAGGAATCAGTAATGTGGATTACGTGTTAAACGACGCATCCGAAACAGTGCATGCTAGTGCCTGGTGGGGATGACCCTTCGTCGTATTCGAACCCGGACACTGCGTAACAGCACGGACCCGGCGGCCTTAACCGCTAGGCCATCATGAAGCACCAACAACAATAATAATAATAATAAAAACAACAATTATATGAAAGTGTTATTTTTATATATTCATTGGAATGATTGACAGCAGATTATATATATATATATATATATATATATATATAGGCTGGAATATTTTATTAAACCTCCCATGAACATAAACGATTTTCTAATTAATTTTAGAAAAATTGGATAATAATGTATATGTGTGTATTATGTGTATATTACAGGCATTATATATATAAACGAATGAACGAACGAACGAAAATTGGAAGAATGAACGAATGGATATATATAGATGAGTGAGTGAGTGAATGAACGAATGAATGGATGAATGAATGAATGAATGAATGAATGAATGAATGAATGAATGAATGAAAGATCGACTGTGTGATTTTATTCCTTCATTAACGAACGTAATGGAAACATATACCGAAATATTCATATTTCATTTTAATAATTAACAATTAATTTAAACGGAAAATGATCAAAAATTATAAATAGCTATAGATGGAAAGAATGAATAAATGAATAACAAATGAAAGAAGCAGAAACGAAAAAATGAATGAAAAAATAAAAATGAGTTTAAAATTTAAGTTAAAAACTCAAAACAATCCATCATTCTATTTAACTAATTCTTCCAATCCATCCATCCATCCAACAACAACAACAATTATTATTATTAAAATAATTATTAATAATATTAGCTATAATAAATTATTTATTTAAATATTTTTAAGCCGTGGCAAAAAAAGATGAGTTCTCATAGAATGGCTCCTGTATGAATGACTGATTGACGTAAGTGACTGGAAGAAAAATAATTTAATTTAATAATTATGATAATAATAATAATTATTATTAAATTATTATTTTGTCATTTATTCATATATTCTTTCATTCATTCCTCTTTCTCCCTCGTTCGCTTTTTTTCTATTTATTTATTCATTCATTCATACAATCATTTATCAATCAAATCTTTTGTTCGTTCTTCTTCATTCTTTCTCGTGCCTTATCCTTTCTGGACATTGGCGACCGTCGACCTTAACAAAACCCGATTTTTAACACTTTGTAAGAGTTGAAATGTGGTGATATTCAACAAGTGACACAAGGACTTCATTCGCTGTTGACCGCGATCTCATTTCCCTGCAATCTTTCCAGTAGTTGATAGATTTTCCATTCTTTCCTTCCGCATGATGTGACCAAAAAACTTTAACTGCCCCCGTCGGATTATCTGTAGCGATTTCCTCTTTTCATAACCAGACTGTTTCAATACATCCTCATTCGAAGTATAAGAGGTCCAACTAATTTTCATAATTCTTCTCAAAAACCACATCTCAGCAGCGTCATTCTTTTTTCCATTTATTTAGAAATTGTCCAGGATTTATTCATTCATTCATTCATTCATTCATTCATTCATTCATTCATTCATTCATTCATTCATTCATTCATTCATTCATTCATTCATTCATTCATTCATTCATTCATTCATTTATTCAGTAATTAAATAATTCATTCACTCACTCATTCATTCATTCATTCATTCATTCATTCATTCATTCATTCATTCATTCATTCATTCATTCATTCATTCATTTATTCAGTAATTAAATAATTCATTCACTCATTCATTCATTCACTCATTCATTCATTCCTCAACCTTCAATTCCACCGGATTCTCTCTCTTTATTTCTCACTATCTCAGTTTTGATGCAGTCGTGTGCGAAAATATATTGGGACTGTAATTATGAAATAATTTTAATTATAACTAACAAAAATTATAATTATCATCATCATCATCACCACCACCATAACTATCATCATCACTATCACCATCACCAACATCATCACCACTACCACCATCATCAACATCGTCATTATCACCATCACCGACATCATTATCATCATCACCATCGTCATTATCATCATCCCCATCGTCATCATCACCATCACCAACATCATTATCACCAACATCATTATCATTATCATCATCACCAACATCGTCATCATCATTACCACCACCACCATCATCATCATCATGACAACCTCCGTCTGCACCATCCGGCACCTATTCTCCCTCATCTCGCGGACCATGCGGAAGAGGTTGATGTGGCTGTCGTGCTCCAATACCTGGAGGGCCCAATCCAGAAGGATGAACGTTCCCGTACGCCCCACCCCAGCGCTATGGTAGTAGTAGTAGTAGTAGTAGTAGTAGTAGTAGTAGTAGTAGATGTAAGTGTATTATTATTATTATTATTATTATTATTATCAGTAGTAGTAGTAGTAAGTGTAGTAGTAGTAGTAATAATAGTGGTAGTAATAGCAAAAAATTTTTATCCCGTCTTGTTTGTTCCGGTTTTAATCTGGTATGATGCTATCGTCATTACATCATTAATTTTGATATTTCGACGGTCGTCATCGTCTTAGTCGCCGCAGCATCAAACCTGCAATGAATGATAGAAGGAGAGAGGGTTCCAGTGTTTGACCTTGACATCTGTCTGACGTCCTTGAGACAGGTCAGTAGTTCATCTTCGACTGGCACGCCGAAATCAGGCCAGTTCAAGAACCAGAAGTGTCTGACCTCCCGTGTTTCTGTGCCCTGATTGAGTAATTGTTTGGTTGGTTGATTGGTTTTTTTGATTGGTTGGTTGGTTGGTTAGCTTAAAAATTGATAAACAAGTAATTCAATCAATTAATTAGCTAGCTAACCGCTAATCAATCAAACATTCAGTCAGCCAATCAACTAACCAACCAGCCAACAACTGATTAATCAAACAAGAGGATGAACGAGCGAGTGAACCAGCGAAAGAACAAACGAACGAACAAAAAACAATCAATCAACCTATTAACCAACCAACCAATCGACCAACCAACCGACCAACTAACCGACCGACCAACCAGCCAACCAACGGGAT